CCAAACACTATTGTTGGACCAGTGACAAGAGCAGAGATCTGTTCTGACAAACAACGCCACATTGTCTCTGGGCAGAGTCGTAATGCATATTCCAAACCTAACTTACCGATTGAAGCACTTCTGGAGTGAGATTCTGTCTGGGGATTGCCACTCAGATCTAGTGGATAGAGCGTCTGTCTGATGCCACATCATACAAAATCATTACTAGATGGTACTTGTTGTTGTCCTGCCTGGCGCTAGACATTAACGGGAAGAGACAAGATTGATCAGCTTGGTGTCTGTAACGTGTCTGAGTAAGGAGACTATGTTAAATGGCAGTGTGATAACATTTCTCAGTGCCAACACTTGGAATGGATTTAGTCTGGATTAGAATGAGCTGCCACAAACACATGCACATTGCTATGACTAAAATAATATCGAAAGCTCCGTTAAAACCCATTTCACCTGAACTTTTCCTGATTTTATAGGAACTGTCGCAGTCTTATCGAATTTTGGAGATACAAATCACGCATTTCCTAGCAAGACATCCTACATGGTTTTCCTTTTTGGACTTTGACTAATCATTATGTTTCTATTGACCAGACCGTGACTTCCTGCCTTAATCAATTACTTTCTTGTTTTTCTCATTTGGAAGTTGGCAGGTGGATAATTAAATATCATGAAGAATATGTTTTTGCATGTTGTTAGATCAGTCCATGAAAAAGAAGAAACAACTTAATTATAAGTCATAGTAGGTGGACTTTCTTCATGTTTTTCTAGACTCAAAGACTGATAGCGCAGGACTGTACGACAGACTAGTGAAGTAGGGCAACTGGTTTTATGACTATGCACCTGAACATTTACACATTATCTTCCTGAGTAAAGACTTGTGTGGGCTTTCTTGGAAAATTGTAGGCTTCAAAGGACATAGGGTTTGAAATACCATATGGTTGGCAGTGTAACCAGAGTTGACAGTATGTTGTCTTTTGAGGAAACCATTCCTACCCACTCATTGAGATGAAGCTGATGCTCAGGCTTATCTTGGCTTGACCTTGGTAGGACATTTCAGTATCTGCCTGCCCACCTCTGAAACAGTAGGGGGCAGTGGTGTAGCCTTGTGGTTAAAGCATTCCTTCATCACGCCGAAGACCCGGGTTCAATTCCCCACTTGGGTACAATGTGTGAAGCCCATTTCTGGTGTCCGCCGCCATGATATTGCTGGAATATTGCTAAAAGCGGCGTAAAACTAAACTCATTTACTCACTCACTGAAACAAGATGCTGGTTTTAATTGATGAAGAAGAAGACATTGTGTGAACATAAACAAGGCCAAAGGGTGTGTTGGTAAATTTATTTCAAAAGTAAATTAGAAAATGCATCATCACATACCTAAAACAGAAGCGAAATGTTTTTTCCCTGCAACCATATCTTTCTTACAATGGTCTCAAACTTAGCTCACTTAATCATATGTATGATTTACAATGATTTAAAAACCTAACGAAGCTCCACACACCAGTTTGTTAATGTATAGGCTGTGAATGAATCCAAGGTCAATACTAATGTACAGTAGGTGATATCATTCCCTGTAAGGAGCTTCAAGATTACAGACCAGTGTATGTTGTGGGTACACTGAAATTTATGAAAACATTTACATTCACGAGCCATTCACAGAAATTTCAAATATATGGAGAACTTTATGATATATGTAAAACATCATTTCCAGAGTAGAATAAGTCTTGTTTATCTGCCCAAACAGATCTCACTGGGTGTGAACAGAAACACTGGGGTGAAAATAATATGCAATCAGTCACTGAAAATCAGTTAAGACACCAGGTGTTCATAATAACATTAGGTAGGAAAATACTATTAACTGACTGTCTCTCCTGAATGAGTGAGTGAGTGACTTTGGTTTAATGCCGCTTTTAGCAATATTCCAGCAATATAACGGCGGGGGACACCAGAAATGGGCTTCACACATTGTACCCATGTGAGGAATCGAACCCGTGTCGTCGGCGTGACAAGCGAACGCTTTAACCACTAGGCTACCCCACCACCCCTCTCCTGAATGAATAATAAAATAAATCAATGTGTTGGTTTGGTTTGCCAAAGGATTAAAATACTCCAAGTGGGAACATGTAAAATGTTTACGTCACATGTTAGTTGTCATATTCTTTGATAAAACAGCTTGTGAAAGTTAATCCAAGAGAAGGTTTTTGAAAGGCTTAGCTTCGGTGTGATTTATTCAGTTGGAATGGTTTGATGTCAATACAGTTGTAGTTCTAAACTTCTGTGATAAAATAACTTCAGCATCTTTTCAACCATATAATGTTGTAACATCCAATCTCATTAAAATCAGATCTTTTTCTTCAAATCGATACCACTCTTTATCCACAAAAGACAAACCTTTACTGGAGGCGGCATTAGGTGAAGCTGCTTCAAGACTTCTAACTTCTTTTACAAGTGAAGGAAGCATTCCTACCAGCATGGCTGATTCCTGTTCAGAATGTAAATGAAAAATGGCCTCAATGAGGTAATAATAATAATAATAATGCATTTATGACGCCTGCTTTCCAGCTTACAGCTGTTCAATGGCGCTAAACAAATCTAGGGTAGAGAGACTGCAGAGAAAAGGAAGGTTTTTAAGTGAGTTCGGAAGGATGAGACGTTGTCGATGCAACAGAGTTTAAGGGGAATAGAGTTCCAAAGAACTGGGTCTGTGAGGTATCACTGCTTTGGGGTGCACATGCACCACATCCTTCATAATGAGTAGGGGTGAAGCCACCATTATAAAGAAAAGCCCAGCTCACACATGATTTTTGCCATGAAATATGGACATGTCCTCAATACTATCTAAATATAAAGCTTTGCAACCTATCGGGTTTACACGAAAGAAATGGCTTGCTACGCGCATGATGAGAATGTAAAAGAATTATTTACAATAGAATCCTTTTGGAACAGACTTGCTCTTGGTAAACTCAAATTGCAAAGCATCACATCGATGATATACAATTTCTGATGTATATATTGACAGTGATAACAGTTAAGTCCAAGTAAGAAGTAACATATTTATTTTACTCTTTTGAAATAAGACTGAAATAACAAGTAATCCGATACAGATATGAGGGTCCTGATGGGAGGTCAACAGTACGTCAAATTTATGTCCTTCACTTAGTAGGTATTACATTTCTGGCTTAGTAAGTGAAGAAAGTATGTGAATAGTGGTCAAGATGAATCTGAAGTGTGAAATCTTCTCTGTGCAAATGCTGATCGTCGGTCTGTCAGGATGCTTGGGGATAGCTTCCTCTGCTTTTGTTTCATTGATACAATTAATGTTTTGCAATTACCTAACACTGACTGTTTTTATGTTGTGTGATTAGGTGTAATTATATACAATTCCTGAGAGATTGTAGCACAATTACGATCTACAGAAATGTTTATTTCAAGTAAAGGAGCTTTTGACAGACAATTATGCTAATCTGTAAAGATAAATACTGACTTATTTATTGTTATAGTGGCTCTGGACCCTCAGATAGTGATTTTTGTTTATCTGGAGCTGTCACATATAAATCATGTGGATAACGTCTTCAACACAGAGTTAACATGTGGAAAAAACATTTCGTTATTCCACACTAAAACACATCCCACAATCATGTGAGTACATTTGAAAAAACATTTAGAATGACCTTTTCACTAGATTCTGACACAACAGCTTTCAAAAATGCTAGAGTGCACATTGTCCATTAATAGAACACCCATACAGAATTACCTGGCCGCACGTGAGATCCAATCGTATTTGTTTACCAGTAAGCTCGACACATTGGGCCCTGCATTTGTTGATAACATGTAACTCCCGAGGGTGTCTGTGTCATCACAGCAGTTACCTCCCCTTCAGCCTGTTGAGCCATCAGTCTGCTGGATGATGTATCAACAATCAATTATGCATTCAGGAGTTGAAAATGAGCTGATGTGTTTCCCAAATTTAGAAATCATGACCATTTGCACTGAAACGGTCAAAAGGTGTTCCTGGCAGTCTGTCCAACTTGCTGTTCCTGATTGAAGTAATGTGCCATTTCAACTGGGGGTGTCTGGTGGCCTTTGCATCCTTTTATGATGAAATCAGATTATCAGGGTATGGCCTTACCTGCACTTGGCAGGTGCTTGAGTGAGAATCAACGGTCTTCTGAGAGGGCTTTTATTCCATGATTTGTTGGCGCTGTCAGAAATCCGATGGCTGTTATGAAATGCCAAGGAGGGCCATTACATTGTGTAATGAAACAAATGGTTGAATATTCTGGAGAGAGAAGCACTTGCATTAGCACATCATACACAACTATATCCTGAATGCAATGATAAAACACAAATAATGGATATGATATTTTGTCAGTATGAATCAGCAAACAGATCAGGGTTTTAGGCAAATGTTGCCTACTTCCAATATTTTTCTCTGCAAAATTTTGATCAGGATGAAAACAGTTTTTCCCAGTTTTCTTATTGTTGGTGTTACATTTATATTGCTCAAAGGGTTAATACTTCTTCCAACAGTGGGGACACATTTCTTGTGTCCCGTGTTGTAAATATTGCTTAATTGTAACTCAATAAGACTGGTGTAACATGCTCACTAATACTTTCGTAAATGATATTGTCATGTGTATGAACAATATTTATTTATGTCCAAGATATTTTTATGGATTAAACTTCTTTTTAATTTATCTCACGACGTTTAGAGACCATTCCAGGTCCCTTCATCAGTTCACGTCAATGTACAACTTCTAAATGCCACTGAAAGACACAATATTTATTTAGTCTTGACATAATGACACAAGGCGAACTCATTGTGTACTCTGACAATCATGATATGGTTTGATTCAGGTAAAGGTGGAATGTTGCAAATTGCAGCATTAAGCATCGTTGGCAAACTAACCTATTGTCTCACTAATGCTGTTGTCCTCCTGAAGGTACAGGTAATCTTAGCCCTCAGATTCAAGTTGACTCTTGTCTGAATAAACCTTGTTATTTTTTCAGAGTTCTGGTTGAATTCTTCACCAATGAGAAGTCCTTCAAGGAGAGGCTGCAACTGTACTTCATCAAGAACCAGAGATCCAGTAAGTATGGCTTCAGCACTAGCCTGTTGGCTGATGTGGGAGTATATCGACTAAAGCACTATTATAAAGGCTGAAGTGGGAGTGTAAGGGCTTTAGCACTAGCGTGTTGGCCAGAGTGGGAGAGGATCTTGTAAAGCACTATTGTATAGGCTGAAGTGGGAGCGTAAGGGCTGAAGCATTACAGTCCGTTTGAGTCAAAAACGGACCGATGAATTGCAAATTTTATCATTGTACAAAATTGCCACATAAATATAAATAGTACACATGTTTATCATTTACTAATACCCAACAGCTTTCTTATATTTGAAAATTTTCTGGACTCCACCAAAAAAGTTCTTTAAGAAACTATCATCATTGAAAACGCAAAAGTTGTTTTCTGTTGCGGCGGGGTGAAACCGCAGAAACGGAACAGCCAGTCATGGCGGGGGACATCTCAAAATCTATTCCGGGAGAGCTGTCGGTTCCTCGCCTGTCGTAGTGTCATAGTCATGACTTAAAGGGATGACAAGTGGTGCCACAGTTGCCTGTTGTAAGCCATCCCGAGACCAGTAACCTTGTTCAATGACGTTAGCTACCTTGTTGACACAGTTTTGCCAAGTTTCAGTCGTGATTTTGTTAAGGGATTCCTTACCAAAACCTCTACGTCACATAATCTAAAAGTTGTGTTTGATCTGGCAACATCTCCTTTGACAATACCCCATATCATTTCAATGGGGTTAAGGTCACATTGATAGGGTGGAAGTCGCAGAATATCGTGACCCTTACTTTTTATGGAACTGTCAACTTTGTAGAAAGGTTCACCTTTGTGGGTTTTTATGATCTCATATAGCTGAGGCTTCGTTGCCTTTGAAGGCCGTGCGATCTGAAATTTGTCGAGCCATGATATCATATCACCTTTTCGACTGTTCGATGTCGGGGCTTTACTGTCGGGGTCCTGCATGCTGTGGTATGGGGCATTGTCCATTATAATAAAAGACTTCTCTGGTAGAGCTGGTACCAACTTGTTTTTAACCCAATCGAGGAAAACTGCACCATTAATCTCGGAATGGTATTCTCTGTTATCTGTGGACTTTGCCCTGAATACCAAGTCACAGCCTGGGAGAAAGCTTTTGCTGGAGCAACCAGCATGGAGAATGATTAGTCTCTCTCCTTTCCCTAGAGGCAGCTTTCTACGTTACCCCCTTATCACCCCATCGGTACCCACTGACTGCTGGCAGTGTGCAAGGCATTGACCCAGGTCTCGGGTCCAAGTACACTGGCTCGAACCCTTCCTCTTCTTTATAACCCTAAGAAAATTATTTCTCAAGCGAACGATATCAGGGAGTTCACAGAGTACTGACCTATTCTCCCCCGAAATTTTCTTATAACGATACCCGAAAGAGTGTAAGAGTTGCCAGAGTGTGTACTTTGATACTCTGAGGTTGTGTTCTTGCTTCAAATGCTTTTATAAAATTTTCAGCGACATGTATTTGTTTTAAAAATAGAACTTGTTGATAGACTGCCTTACAAGGTTGTCCAAATATTTTAATTTGTGTGATTTTGACACGACCCCTACCTGCTTCGCATCACCCTCACAATGTTTGTGTTCCAGAACATTTGTCAGTACCGTTGCTGATACTCCTAAAGGTTTTGCTGCCCGCCTACGGAATTTATTAATGGCATGAAATGGTTTGCCCCTTACGGCTTCAGCACGGAAAAAATCGCGTACACTTTAATCATCAACTGTTTTCCGCCAGCATTCAACTTCATTTTTCATCGGGCATGTGTATCCCGTGCACGACGAGATAGTAGCTGTTACGTTTCTGCGGTTTCACCCCGCCGCGACAGATAACAACTTTTGCGTTTTCAATGATGATAGTTCCTTAAACAACGTTTTTGGTGGAGTCCAGAAAATTTTCAAATATAAGAAAGCTGTTGGGTATAAGTAAATGATAAACATGTGTACTATTTATGTTTATGTGGCAATTTTGTACAATGATAAAATTTGCAATTCATTGGTCCGTTTCTGACTCAAACGGACTGTAGTGTGTTGGCTGAAGTGGGAGTTAAAGGGCTTAATCCCTAGCCTGTTGGTTGAAGTTGGAAAGTATCTCCAGAATCACTATTGTATAGGCTGAAGTGGAAGTGTAAGGGCTGAAGCATGTTGGCCGAAGTGGGAGAGTATCTTCTAAAGCACTATTGTATAGGCTGAAGTGGAAGCGTAAGGGCTGAAGCATTAGTGTGTTGGTTGAAGTGGGAAAGTATCTCCAGAATCACTATTGTATAGGCTGAAGTGGAAGCGTAAGGGCTGAAGCATTAGTGTGTTGGCTGAAGTGGGAGAGTATCTTCTAAAGCACTATTGTATAGGCTGAAGTGGAAGCGTAAGGGCTGAAGCATTAGTGTGTTGGCTGAAGTGGGAGTAAGGGCTGAAGCATTAGTGTGTTGGCTGAAGTGGGAAAGTATCTCCAGAATCACTATTGTATAGGCTGAAGTGGAAGCGTAAGGGCTGAAGCATTAGTGTGTTGGCTGAAGTGGGAGAGTATCTTCTAAAGCACTATTGTATAGGCTGAAGTGGAAGTGTAAGGGCTGAAGCACTAGTGTGTTGGCTGAAGTGGGAGTATATTGACTGAATCCCTATTGTGTATGGGCTGTGCTGTACATGGCACAGCCATGTTTCTCCTCTCGTGATGAAGCACTAGTGTTTGTGATGGAGTGTGTGGGACACAGGTGTGTTTGCTTCAGCATCACATAGCCTCAGCTGATGTGTTTGGGCTTCAGCTAGAGAGTATAGACTGTAGCAGGAGTATATAGGCTTCAGCAGGGGCGTATTGAGAGCATCAGGAGAGTATGGGCTTCAGCAGGAACATTATGGCCTCAGCAGGATTGAATAGGCTTCAGCAGGAATATATGGGCTTCAGCATAAGTATATGGACTTCAGCAGGATTGTATAGGCTTCAGCAGGAGAATATGGGCTTCAGCAGGGGTGTTTTAAACATCAGGAATATATGGGCAGGAGAATATGGGCTTCAGCAGGAGTATATGGGCTTCAGCAAGGGCATATTGAGAACATCAGGAATATATGGGCAGGAGAGTATAGGCTTCAGCAGGAGTATATGGGCTTCAGCAAGGGCATATTGAGAACATCAGGAATATATGGGCAGGAGAGTATAGGCTTCAGCAGGAGTGTATGGGCTTCAGCAGGAGGGTATCGGGGGCCTCAGGAGAGTAATGGCTTCAGCAGGAGGGTAATGACTGCAGCAATGTGTATGTAATTTCCCAAGGTGTGAGGATCTATAATAAACATTAAGTGTTGCTGAAACTACGAATGTGCAATATATATGAGATGTAACAAATTAGGTGATGATTACTACAGGTCTCATTCATCTCTGACATTTAAAAGCAAATAATAAATTAGGTTTTCAGAGATTCAGCTGTGTTGTAAGTGTATTTCCCTGATGAGTGTCGGACATAAGATGAATATTTGATCGTCTCTGTATCCAGGTATTTCCATCTGTTTCTACTCTTCTGCTGCTGCTGAAGGGCAGTGATCGTATGAATCGTGCAGTTTCTCCGTGATAACGGTACAAATGAGAAGCCTGTGACATGATTGTATTCTCCTAAATAAATCTCATGGGTGTGCACATTTTATTGTGACATTTGATATTTTGAGCCGAACTGAAGATTGCTTCGTTGTAATTATGACAAAATACCGTTTCATCCACATCAACTGTGCGCCTGAAATTGGTTTTTCGAAATGAAAGCATTGTAATTTTATGAGACATACAAATACCGTTGTTTTTTGTGGTGGTAATGAGATATGGAGCACGCTCAGCAGGAATTCCTGCAAGGATGCCAACCATTTCAGTGTTGTTGGAATCGTTACAATATTTAAAAAAAATATCAACCCATTAAATTAGGAGATAAACAATATTTTTTTCCACATGACCGAATATTTTTCAGTATTTTATTGGATATTCAATCTGATTTTAAATCTTGAAACTTCCTGGAATTGATAAAATACTGAATGGTGTCGCAAATCTGAAAACAAAATAATAGTGACTTTGTGAAATTCACATTTTGTCAGTCATTTCCTGATGCACACTCTCTCTTATTGAATTGATATCACATGATGATGTAATAAATCATGTCACATGGTTCTGCGATGTCATCACTGATGTCACATGGTTCTGTGATGATGTTATGAATGATGTCACATGGTTCTGTGATAATGTTATGAAGGATGTCACATGGTTCTGTGATGATGTTATGAATGTAACACGGTTCTGTGATGATGTTATGAATGTCACACGGTTCTGTGATGATGTTATGAATGATGTCACATGGTTCTGTGATGTTATGAATGATGTCACATGGTTCTGTGATGACAGTATGAATGATGTTACATGGTTTTGTGGTGTAATGAATGATGTCACATAGTTCTGTAATAACTGAAAGTGCCTGGGCCCTTATTCTCGAAACCTTCGTAGCCTTAAGAATTCTTAACTTTGATCGTAGCCAATGTGTTAAGAATGGGCTTTTCTGATGATGTTATGAATGAAGGCTAGAATGAAGCACAGTTTTGTGATGTCGTTCTGTAATAACTGAAAGTGCCTGGTGAGAGACTGTGGATAATTGCTTGATTAACTTTGAGCCTGGTGAGTAGACTGTGGAAGAAAGCACTTAATTGGTGTTGTTTTGATAAACACTGATTAACTTTGGATTTTAACCTTAGACTTGTCCATTTTGACAAGTCAGACATCACAGCTGTTGAAATGTTCATATTGGGGTATGGGTAGATGGTTGACTCAGCAGATGAGTAAGTGAATCTGTGAATGAATGATAAATTGAATGGATGGTCGAATGAAAGGTTAAATGTGTTGATGGTTGAAAGAGTGGTTCATTGATTGAGTGGTTGAGTGAGTGGTTAAATGTGTGAGTGGTTGAGTGAATGATATAGGGAGTGAGTAAATGCTCCTAGTGATCACCCAAGACGACAAAATACCTGCTGTACCAGGGATATGTAACATAGACAATCAAACCATGAGCAGATAAACCAGTGGTAAATGTTATGAGCAACATTCCACGCAGCTAGGTTACAGTGACATGTAATCATAAACAATCATAATGATATCACCACTCGTGCAGTGCAACATCATAGCGCTTGACAAGATGAAGTTTTTCTAATGGCACTAGAGAACATTTGCTCTTCTGTGGTTCAGGGCGATGGGGTAGTCTAGTGGTTAAAGCTTTCGCTCGTCATGCCGAAGACCCGGGTTCGAATCCCAACATGGGTGCAATGAGTGAAGCCCATTTCTGGTGTTCCCCACCGTGATATTGCTGGAATATTGCTAAAAGCGGCGTAAAACCATACTCAGTCAGTCAGTCAGTCTTATGTGGTTCATTGTTTCATTTACATTTTTGTACAAACTGAACCTGAAATGCTTTCAGTTTCCATCTTTGTATGTTGTTGACAGAGTCAGGTCACTGAGGCTGACTACCTGATCAATTCTGGTTGTCCCTTACAAATAACATTGGCTTTATGATTAGGTGTTGCACCACCGATGCTTGTAATTATTACTTGTTGACTTAGTTGTACTTTCATGTGTTCCCTTATTTATTTCCATGAGTATGTATACTAGGCAATAATATGCCCCTTAGGTTTTCTGTCAAAATAATCTGTAAAATAGACAAGAAAATATTGACTATCAAGGGAATTTTTGGTTTTTGGAAGCTCACTTACTGATTACCGACAGATATGTCCAGAAATTTGTTGAGGGTATTACATAATGAATCAGTGCGCTTCACACAGTGACCAGAATAATTCTGAAGGAAACACAAGAATCGTGATCACCTTAAACCATTTCAATAAACTTGCATCAAGATCTGTTATGAGGCTTTCACTTGAGGTCATGCAGCAGGGACTTCTTTCGATACGCACCATTTATCCAGCCTCATGTAAGAATGTCGAGTTTTGATTGGTTCACGTGACTCTGATAAAATGCCATGTACACCCGTCACGATCCGTGAGCAGGGAGTACAAAAATCATATTATCCCGCCACGCCTCGGTGACCACGCCAAGTGAGAAATGAGAAAAGTGTGCATCTCCAAGCCTTTAGTAACGTGCGCTGCATTGAGGTCAATCGATCAGCTGGTGTCAACTTGGCAGCAAGTAAACGTTTTGCCACAACAACTGAGAGTTTTCTTTTCTTTTCTTTTGATTTAGTAAAAACATTTGGCTAGATAGATGCGTTATCACATCGTGTCGACGGAAATACAGGGTTTTATCAGTCCCGAGTAAGGTTGTATTCCCCTAATTTCCCTCGACATGATGTGATAACTTATAATGTCAATGTGATCTCTCACATGTCAGAACCGTAAATCATTTCGCGCTATATATTTGAGCAACATACTATGGACTTCCTGATGTTTAAGTGTTTCTGTGCACAAACACGGCTACAAATCATGTGGCTCTGTAAGATAAATATGACAGTACACAGCGGAGAAACAGGAAGTGAATCTGACCTTATACTTTACTAATTGTATTCACGCACACATTTCTAAATTAATTCTTGCATGTGTAAAATTACACTGTAATTTTGATTATTGAAAAAAGCCCAAACGAAATAATAGCTTATGGTCCTCATGTGTCTCTTACATGTTGCCTGGTAATATGAACACATATTGCGAAACTTACCTGGATGAAAATCTCTCTGCATAATTTAGCTGAATATATACTGAGGGAAAGAAAAAAGGGAACATCACCTCATCACAGTGTTCCTATGTTTTTTCTCAGATTTTCACCCACAGTGCAATACAAAGCTTGCGAGGAAACCTTGAAAAATAAAGGAGCACTTGTTCTTTCATGTGTTGGGGCGGTGGGGTAGCCTAGTGGTTAAAGCGTTGGCTCATCATGCTGAAGACCCGGGTTGGAATCCCCACATGGGTACAATGTGTGAAGCCCATTTCTGGTGTCCCCCGCCGAGATGTTGCTGGAATATTGCTAAAAGCGGCGTAAAACCAAACTCAGTCAGTCAGTCAGTCTTTCATGTGTTCCCTTATTTGTTTCCCTCAGTATATGTCTATGTGAAATAATACTTGTACTTTATAACTAGATACTTTCAATTTATCTTGCATATGTAATGTTTTCAGTAAGAAAATGCATATGAAACATTAGGGTTTTGTTATCATTTAAGCACCAGTCATGAAAATAAATATCATCTTTGCTAGGTTACTTGATGGACATGGCACTTCAGAAGCATGTCAGATTACCTCTATATGTTTTGTAATGGTTGACAGGTGATGACCCGGTCATAGCTACTGTGTGTATAATTTAATCCACAGTAACTAACTCACTCACTTAGCTGCTCAACCATTCACCCATGCAACTGCTAACTCAACCACTCATTCATTCACTCAAGACTCATTCACTAAAACACTCATTAAACCATTCACTCAACAAGTCATGAAACCATAGACTCAACCACTCATGCAATTATTCAATCACTCACTCACTACACTGTCATCATTCAACCATTCAACCATTCAACCAGTCCTTTATTTACTCAACCACTCCTTCACACAACCACTCCTTCACTCAACCACTCCTTCACACAACCTCTCCTTCACTCAAGCACTACTTCACACAACCACTCCTTCACTCAACCACTCAACAACTCATTCAACCTATCCTCAGCCTCTTTCTCAATCACTTATTCACTCAACAAATCACTCAAGCTCTCAACAAACCACCCACTGAGACAGTCATCCAATAAATTCAGGACCCCTGAAGATCCGGGTTAGAATTGGTCTTCATTAACCCATGTTTGTCATAAGAGGCAACTAACGGGATCGGGTGGTCAGGCCCGCTGACTTGGTTGACACATGTCATCCTATCCCAATTGTGTGGATGGTTGCTCATGCTGTTGATCACTGGATTGTCTGGTCCAGCCTTGATTATTTACAGACTGCCGCCATATTGCTGGAATACTGCTGTAAGCTAAACTCACGCACTCACTCAATAAATTCAGCTTCGATTTAGTTAATTAATTTCTGCAGTATATTTTTTATTGCAATTGTTCCTGGTGAGTGTAAGTGTAAGTGTAAGTGTAAGTGTATTCTTGATATTGTGTTTCAATGAGGATCACATGCATCCTGTACGTTGTCGCGAAGTCTACATGGACAAGGGCAAGACGTCATCACAGTAAGTTCCCTCTCAGCTTTAGTGCATCCTGTAGTACTTATGCTGACATAAGCATCCTTTAGTAGTATCCTTATGCTGACATGCATCCAAGATGCGTTCGCGAGTCTACATGGACAAGGGCAAGACGTCATCACAGTAAGTTCCCTCTCAGCTTTAGTGTAGTACTTATGCTGACATGCATCCTGTATCAGCGTTAGTGTAGCGAGTCTACATGGACAAGGGCAAGATGTCATCACAGTAAGTTCCCTCTCAGCTTTAGTGTAGTACTTATGCTGACATGCATCCTGTACTTTTGAGTCTACATGGACAAGGGCAAGACGTCATCACAGTAAGTTCCCTCTCAGCTTTAGTGTAGTACTTATGCTGACATGCATCCTGTACGTTGTGCGAGTCTACATGGACAAGGGCAAGACGTCATCACAGTAAGTTCCCTCTCAGCTTTAGTGTAGTACTTATGCTGACATGCATCCTGTACGTTGTGCGAGTCTACATGGACAAGGGCAAGACGTCATCACAGTAAGTTCCCTCTCAGCTTTAGTGTAGTACTTATGCTGACATGCATCCTGTACGTTGTGCGAGTCTACATGGACAAGGGCAAGACGTCATCACAGTAAGTTCCCTCTCAGCTTTAGTGTAGTACTTATGCTGACATGCATCCTGTATGCGTTGTGCGCTGGACAAGGGCAAGACGTCATCACAGTAAGTTCCCTCTCAGCTTTAGTGTAGTACTGACATGGACAAGGGCAAGACGTCATCACAGTAAGTTCCTAACAATTACCACAATTTCTCACAAGTGTCACAAGATTCTTAATTGTTCATTCAAAACCTAAATAGAACCACCATGAATGCAGTTTTGTATGCTATGCCCATGACGTTTCAGGCATGTTAACATGTAAAACATGATGTTCAATATCACATCTTTTTGATCACATCTCGCAAAGAGGCAGAAAAAAGTTGACTGTATTTCTCAAACAAAATTGTTTGGCTCATTCCTTACAGAAATCCTCACCTGTCTTGAGGCAGTGACACAAACACATCGTGAAAGTCATCGACTGCAGTCATAGATCTACCAGTGTTATTCAGTTCTAGTTTATAGACCACCTCATGTGCACACACCGTGAACTGTTTGAGACAAAAAGATATATTGATTAAAAAGAAATGTAGTGTGTTCATTTTATCATGTTCAAACCTACAGCAGACAGGTGTGACAATCATTTAATAATAATAATAAAAATAATAATAAGTCATCTTCTGTAGCGCAGTCTCCAAACACCAAGTGATAACCCAAGCTGCCTGTGAGGCGCTAGAAGGTTATAGTCACATGACCTATCCCACCAGGTACCCATTTTCTGCTGGGTGAACAGAGGCAATTTTGAACAAACTCACCTAAGATGAGACCATATGTATTACATGTGCTTCGTTGTGGGGTAGGACTGAAGTCCTTGGAACTCTCAGGAGTCAAGCTGCCAAAGACGGTCATCCAAGCTCGACGTTGCATAACTTCAACTGATTTGTGACCTGAGCTCTGTGCACAGGACCACAAGCCATACAAATATTTGCCTTGGAACTGTCCAAGGTTGCTGGACATTTGTTTGAGACATCTATGTTGGTCATTTTGTTAACAAGACATGCAGTTGTCTTTTCCAACCTCATTTTCATGGAACCCGTGAAGATCCGGGTTAGAACTAAGATCTTCAGTAACCCATGCTTGTCGTAAGAGGCGACTAACGGGATCAGATGATCAGGCATGCTGACTTGCTTGACACATGTCATCAGTTCCCAAAAGCGTAGATCAATGCTCATGATGTTGATCACTGGATTGTCTGGTCTAGACTCGATTAGACAGTCGCCATATAGCTGGAATATTTCTGAGTGTGGCGTAAAACTAAACTCACTCATCCCTTTTCATGGAGAATATTTTACACTCATGATAAATAAACTCTGGGCTCATCCACTTGCCTTGACCCATTTCATATTAAAAAGGCAGTGTGATTTACATCAAATGATTTATAGTATATAAATTTACATTATGCACAGCTCATGTCATTGGTATGAAACAATATTTTAGACAAAGAGGAACACTTTTTATGGATAGACAACTTCTGTATTGTAATAGATGTGACGTATTTTGTGTAGATGCTAACACAGTTATCCATCAAATGATACAGACTATGTTATTTATTTTTTGTGTGGATCAAATTTCCTTGAATACAAATCAGTGTTTATTTCTAATACGAATAACAGTATCAGAGCCAAGAGAGTTATCTGCACTTGAGTCAAGGCTGATACGTCATCCCAATTGTCCAGCAAATGTGAAAACCATCAGACTGAAAAATCTTATTTTATGTAGATATATATAATAAATAAGTTATATAATGGGTTTGTTAAATAAGATAACCTGTATTTCACTGTTGTAGGACCTTCTGATTCTTTCATATTGCTGAAGTTAATCTGTCATGCCTGTCAGTAAATGATATTTCATAAACATTTTAGGCCATTTGCAAACTGATTGCTTCACTCAGCAGTGTAGGAAGCAGATTGAACAGCTGTGGTAATAGCATTCTTTACTATTATATACAAAACAACAATCAGTGTGTAAATTCAACTGATTTGTAAAATAACTGCAATTTGTAAACATTTGCTGTTTCAATAGAGTCATTTGTCATTTGTGAATGTTCCATAGATTCTGACTCAGGAAGACTTCCATGGTCGAATTAAATATCCTTTTCAAGTTACAATGTATTTGGAAATGACTGTTTTCTCAAACTGTGGCAAGTGTCAAACCATGGAAGACACATGGGGATTCTTGTCAGCATAGTGTCCCAGAACGCCATGTTTGTCGTCAGTGTATTTCACTTCAGAACTTCCATTTTATTGGAATTACCAAACGAAATATTCCTGGGTTGTGTGAAGCAGTTGTTAATGCATTGAAATATGAAGCTTAAGTCAACAGAATGAACGTAATGGCGCCAAGAATATGCTTTCCAGGACAGAAGAGTTATGACACAGTATTCCTAGATGTTGGTCTCTGGAGAATTATCCAGTATTCCATATCAGTAATTGTTTAATTTGGTTTTATTTTTTTTTGTGAGAGTGATGGTGGCTACGCAGGTGCCCCGGTCATCTACATTGCTGTAGTATTGTCTGCAAGGTTCTCGCTCCCTTAGGGATACAACAACCATGTGACTGACGATCATCTTGTCTTGCCAGCACCGTGGTTTCAAGCATATAGTGAAGGTGTTAGACCTACAGTGATGTAACTGTGGACTAGGTCTACATGGTGATAAAGTCAACTCTCTGAGGCAGCATCTGGACGTAACAAACTCTGGGGATAGAATTACCGCCAGTTAGTCAGCTAGTGTAGTGTGTAAAGTTGTGCTGGAATGAGTGCCTGGGTTCTTGCTGTATGTCTCTAATTGTATTACGAGAGTACTGGTAAACTATTTAGATACACACTTGATCATGCATAGTTTAAAGGTGTCCGTTATCTCTCCTGAAAACTGTATTTCAGAATTTTATTGTTAGTTTCATTTTGTAATATAACTTACCAGGGCTTGAGTAGTTATGTTGGAACCAGTGTCCTACTCAGGATTTGGTTTGGTTTGTTGTTTTACGCCGCATTCAGCAATATTCCAGCTATATGGCAGCGGTCTGTAAATAATCGAGTCTGGACCAGACAATGCAGTGATCAACAGCATGAGCATCGATCTACACAAATGGGATATGATGACATGTGTCAGCGAGCCTGACCACCCGATCCCGTCAGTCGCCTATTACGACAAGCATGGGTTACTGAAGAATAATTCTAACCCAATCTGAGTATCTGATTTACACTTCTAAGCTTTGGGGTAAATACTACTCTTACTTCACAAAATACCCTTTCTGACCCAGCAAAGGTCATTGAATTTAGTTGTTTTATCCCATTTTTATGGGATTTTGCTCATGTAAGTAACCTCTGGTTTCATTGACCAATGAAGATGACATTATGTATGTACTGACAGAAACCAAAATATTGCTTACTACATCATAATACAAAACTTCAAATCCAGAGGACATAACCCTTGCTGAAAGACAGACAGATTGACAGACAGATTATTTATTAGAGTCTGACCTCAGTGACATAAAATAATACAGCATAATATACAAACAAAATACATGAGTCACTCCATTTGATGTGGGTGAGTTATGAGAGACTATCTGTTAAAACCATGTACAATACATACATACACAGATATGTCAAATCATGATTACTGTTAGAATCAGTATGTGATGTTTGTAATCTATACGATGATGTTGTTTTAATTAAACAGTCCTGGAATCATGGTTTAAGTTTGTTTTAGTTTTGCTTGTTGTTTGCTCAGTAGAATTCCATCTATATGACAGTCAGTAAATAATCGAATCTTACATCATGAGCATTGAATCAGAGCATGTACCTGACCTCATGATCCAGAAAACCAATCTGACGGATGTTCACGGAGACATAGTATTAATCAAAGCCTGGCTTTCTGACTGAGATATTGCCTGTTTATTTAGAACTTTTTCCATCCCAGGTGTTTGAGAGTTTGATAAGGCTGCAGTAGTTGATTAATAATATACAGGTGAGCTTGGGGTCAGGTAAAGTTCTCATCACTCTTGATGTTCTCTAGAAGTGCCAATGGTCGGCATTTTAGTTGAGTGCTTGATCCTCCTGGTTATAGCATGGGCACATTAAACAGCTGAATGTGTGAAATTGATGTATATTTAGGCCAGACCAATTTTATTTCTTGTTTTAGGGATTTTTTGTCCTCAGAAACCCTAAAGGCAGGAGGGGAAAGAAATAAAAATAAAATCACCAGTCAAAGTAATATTGTTTTTAAATGCTAAAAGTAAAATACTTTTAGCAATTTATGAGTGAGTTTAGTTTTACGCCGCACTCAGCAATATTCCAGGGGCGGTCTGTAAATAATCGAGTCTGGACCAGACAATCCAGTGATGAACAGCATGAGCATCGATCTGCACAATTGGGGCAATTTATGAAGTGTATATGGGGGAAAATACAACCTAAAAATAATTTTCTTGTAATTTTACATTGGCCAATAATAACATAAGGATTTTATTTTTTGAGTGGGGAAAATTAATGTATATTTTTGTTCTTATTCTTGAAAAGATACGACCGGCGGATCCGTGAAACAAGAAATAAAATTGGTCTGGCCTTAAGATATTTTGTCATTTTATAATGAATTGGGTAATAACATACACATTACTATCTTATTAGGACACGTCTTAGTTTGTTTCTGAATGTTTGCATGTGCGACAAAGGATTCCAGTTTTCCAGATTCTAAGAGGCACTGGGATTGATGATCAACTTTCTGCACTGAAACTTGATCCAAATAACAAACATTAATATATGATACAAAAGAGCTGTTGTGTTTAT